AAAAAAAAAAAGACTAGGCGTCTAAAAGTTTTTCTCTTATTTGTATACTTAGGCTCTTGAGCAACCTGACTTTCAAAAGTGCCAAATAGCCAGCAGCCCCCACTGGCTACGCTTTGAATCCACATTAAAGAAAAATAATAAAGTTTGCTATTTCTTGTTCTAATCTGACTTTAAACTAATAAAGAAAATCCATTAAGAAGCCTAGGTGGCAGAAATTGTATGGTCCATGCTATTTTATGGATATCTGCATATGGAATTATGTGGCAAACTTTAAGTATCCATTTAAATTGAAAGGGTCTTAAAATAAAGACCTGTTTAAAATAAAAGGGTCTTAATGAGTTAGGTGTTTTAGATCTATAAGAAATACTGAAAATGCAGTACAGGCAATCTGGCACAATTAGCTTTAAGAAAGATAACTTTAAAAATATAATAAAATTCCCAAACTGAATATGTTTGGTTTCGCCAGCAAAACTACTGAAAAGTTAGGGGAGAGAAGATATTTTGACAAGCTCCAGTTACACTATGAGGAGTTAATAATGAGAGTTACAAAAACTGGAATTATCATCGGATGCTGATTTACATATAGCAGCAAAAGTCATTAGTTGAAAGTTATTTTCTCATTGCAGCATACAGAAGTTTTCTAAGGTGTGTGTGTGTGTGTGTGTAGGAACTATTTCTAAAATAGGTGACGGTTTCAGAATGAACTTCCCCTTTTAGTGAGCTCTTGAGTTCAGTTCCACTGCTGACAGCACAACTGATGTTATTTTCAAAGACCGTTCTTCCATGGACCAGTTTATGATGGTTACTTCTTGGTTTTAATAAAAGTATGCTTTAATATCAACATCTTTTCAAGCTCTCACTAGGAGGGAAGAAATCTTATACAACAGTGCAAAGTTCTGGGTTTTTCCCTCTATGAAGTGAGAAGGCTTTGTAACACTTAAACAATAGTTTTCTTTCTGATCAATGGAAGAAAATACATGATCGGGTTAGAAAGCAGGGTTGCCAACTGTCTGTAAATTTATTGACACTCCATTAAAAAACACCCTAAAACACTCATTCCTGTCTGTAAAAATCCATAAACGTTTTCCATTCCATAAAAACATGGATCCACTGCAGATTTAAGTTGCAGGAAAAATGCTGTAGCAATTCAGAAAACACAGCAGCACCAACTACTGTCTGAACAGCAGCACAGCACCCTCTGTGGACCTCACCAGCGCCTGCTAGACTCTTCCTCCCCCGTCCCTCCCTTTCAACCCCCAGGCAACCTGCTACTACTAAGTCCCTATGCCCATCTTCTGCCTGTAGTAGCTGCTTACATAGAAGGTACAAGGAGGGGTGCAGTGCAGGCAGGATGGGCATATGGGCCAGGATGGGGAGAAGCTGTGGGTAAGGGTTAGTATAGGGACGGGAGAGCAGGCTGGCAGGGGTCAAACTGCAGGGTAGGTTGGGGTGGGCAATAGGGTGCAGTCTGGACTGTCAGGGGTGAGAAGGGGACCCTTGAGGTAGAGGCAGCAAGGTGTAAAACCACTACAGAAGTCACACAGGCTGCCAACCCAAGAATGTATTTTTTTAATGAAAGTAAAATACATGTCAGTACAAAAAAAAACTTCCTGTGTCAGTAAGAAAAGTACAGGTTGTCAGTGAAAAGAAAAATTCTTGGTTTGACAACCACGTTGGAAAGACATCTATGTTTTAATACCCTTCAGTATTTCTCCCCTCTAATAAAGCAGATATACCTTGTGTATTTCAGAAGCAGCAGCTGCATAAAGCGACAGAGGTAGGAAATGTTCAAAAGGTAGACAGAAAATACAGTCCTGAGATTAACTCATAGATTAAATCCTTCACATAAAAAAGTTTTCACAATCTGAAGGAATGAATCATCATAAAACATTCTGCTCAATTTATATACTCATACTTGAATATGCAAATGGCATGCATTAATCACATGTAAATAAAAGTACACCTTCGTCATTTGAAATGGGCTCTGATTGTGTGAGGAAGTGTTTGTGAGACTACCATTAATACCTACTAAAAAATCAATAACCATGTTCAATTTAAGATGCATTAGTAAATTATCAAAAGGTTTATCCTATTGTTTGTGTTGTGGTAACACCAAGAGATCCTAATCTGAATTCTTTCAGGTGATATTTAAACATGTTGGAAGACAGTCTTCATAGGGCCTGCCCTGAAGAGTTTATAATCTAAGATGACAAGCAGTGTATAAAAATCAGATGAACAGATACAACAAAATCATGGATTATTAGTTATACAATAACCAGATGTGTATATATAAAGAAACTTTTTAAACAGAATGTGTGCACTTCTTTTATGCTGATCTCTCCTTAATTTTCCCATAAGTACTTGCTAAAAGAAATTCACTGGCAGAATCAGTCTGAAACAAGGATTGGAAAGATTAGAAGCTTTAGAGATTTAGGGGCTGTTCCATGTAGGAGGTACATCATCGAAGAGGATAAGAAGGTAATAAAGTGCAAGATTCCACAGGTGCGGGAAGCATGCAGAGAAAACAAAGATAGCAGCAGCTACCGGCAAAGTGAAAGATGTGAGACACAAGAGACCAGGTGTAAGGAAGGGACACTTCTGTAATGGACCTGGAAGGGGATAACAAGAAACTTGAACATGACATGATGAGACACAGGAAAGGATGCAGTGGAGAGTCAAGGAGGGGAGTGGTATGAGGTAACAAATGTTAAGGTCGCAGCAGTGGTTTGGATGAAGTGTGGAGAGGGTGACTCTAGTCAAAACTGGTGATGAAGAGGGCCTGAACAAAACTGGCTATGTGAATAGAAAGAAAAAAAAATGATTACTAAAATCTGAGAGAAAAAATCCTGTTGCATTTAGATGCAGCCTAGGTATTCAGAACAAGGCTAAGGGAGCAATGAAGGATAGGACCTCTGCTACTGTAAGGAAGAATGCAGCAGATAAGGAGGGCTTAGGAGGAAAGATGAGGAACACAGCTTTGGTCACATAAAAATGTAATTAGATGGTGAACCATAAAAAAGTGATATCAGAGAGTGGTTGAGAGATGGGGCAGGACAGAGGGAGGCAGGTGAGGAATGGACAGGCTGACCATGTGAGCATTAAAATAATATTAACTTTAACTTAGCAGTTGCAAACTACTACTGGCTTTGTTCTCCCAAGTGGGAAGATTCATAGTTTCATAGTTTCTAGGGTTGGAAGGGACCTGAACAGATCATCATGTCCAACCCTCTGCTCTGGGCAGGAGTGAGTGCTGGGATCATAATATCCCAGCCAGATATCTATCCAACCTCCTCTTGAAGACCCCCAAGGTAGGGGAGAGCACCACCGCCCTTGGGAGTCGATTCCAGAGCCTGGCAGCCCTAACTGTAAAGATTAAAATGGTACACTGACTTTGAAGCACACTACTAACAGTGTTCACAGCTATCTTTATTTACCCTTTTTATTTGAAAATGCTGAATAATTTTCAACACCTTACAAAGCCTCAGGTCCTTGTTATGCACAATCATGAACACAACACCTCTGCTTCAAGTAATGCCTGTTACATCAGACTTGAAAGTAGATTATCCACTGAAAATTCACAACCAAATCCCTACTTGCATCATTTTAGAGATCCAAAAATATTTCATAAAATATATTTGCATACTAAATGATGCTGCCATAGGCAAGCATGAAGTAAATTCCACCATTACTAACTGATTTCTTAATAGCTTTCTTTTCTAATCATACTACTTTCACACCAGGCACGATCCAGTTAATTGCTTAAAATTCAAAGCTTGTGAGGTTTCTGTCTTTTGAATCCCTGCTGAAAAAAAATATTTTTGCTCTCATCTTTCTGGATAAAGATTGAGGAAAAACCTCTAATAAAAAAATGCAAATGGAAAGCTTCTATAAAATTGAATGCTATATAATCACAAAGCAGTATTTGTTCTTTCAAATATATTTTAAAGGGTCTCTAAAAATTTCGTTTTTTAATCTACAGCATTTTATTGTTTAAATGGTGGTGGATTTCTCCTTATAATATCTGCATGCAATCTATTTTCTAGCTGGAATCTAACCATTGCATTAAATGTGCTTTCCTCATTTTTTCAGAGTACATAATCAAGGCTTGAATTGTAAATATTTCTCAACAGGAAATTAATTTGCTATTAATTACTGTAAAAAACGTGTATAGTTCCCTTAAAAATACACAGTGCTTTGCATAGATCATGCAGAGTTCTGCCCCAAAGAATTTACAAATACACCATACAGAAGACAGCACATGCAAGAAACGCAAGGCAAGAAGGAGAAGAAAATATTCAAAATAAATCTGTCTGTATGATTTATAATTTTGGAATAGGGTTGGATAATGTCACCACTCAGTTCCAGCCTAATTAAATCTCTATGGCCCAGAGTTGCAAGGGTATGGCTGATAAAACAGATACCTTTGGTTTGCTGCGGACCTCTGCCTCTTGAATAGCTTGGTGGCAAACTAGTTTTAAAAGTGCTACTAATAATATCTTTGGCATCTTTACCTTTACATCTCTCCACTTCAGAAAATGATGAAGGCAGCATTGAGTCTATAGAGGAAAATTAAAATGAAGAAAATAAAATATTTACTTACTACACTTTATTCTTTCAAACAATTTGGAAAAATATGTATCTTATTTTATGATATGGGCTAATTGTAGGACTTAAGATTTATCTGTGTACTTGGATAACTAACATTACTTTAGTACTTTAGTACCTTGTGACCTCATCCTGTCCTGTGAAAATAACTATATTTTTTCATGTCAGTAACTTCCTACATGTATATGTGAAAAGAACAGATGCTCATCCTCTTTCCTTTTTAAATGTGGTCTATTTTGAAGCTGAGAGAGATAGAGAGACTGTCCCCCCATTTTATTATCTTTTTAAATGGACTGTTGGGACTGGTCTGGGCAAATACTGTAAGTGGACTCTGCCATTGCTAGCAGTGAACAGAGGTAGAGAGATTGACTAACAGAGCTCTCATTTTTTTCCAGATGAGAATAGGCATTCACTCAGGATCAGTTCTGGCTGGAGTTGTTGGGGTTAGAATGCCACGTTATTGTCTCTTTGGAAACAACGTCACGCTTGCGAGCAAGTTTGAGTCAGGAAGTCATCCACGACGCATCAATGTCAGTCCAACCACATACCAGTAAGTGCTGCCTGTGTTTTCATAATGCTTGTATATGAGCCCCAGTGTTACTTTGAGTGTGACTGTACAATTCCACTTCCAACCCCTAGCCCCATGTGCAGAATGGGAGCCTGAGAAGGGGCACAGTCAGGGTCTCAGTTCTGCAGCAAAGGATGCAAAGAGAAGATTGCTGTCAGGCAAAGGGAATGCTAAGGACATGGACAGTAGATTTATCTTCCCTACCCTTATTAACTGTGCATTATTACAGCTTCAACCTGAGCGATGTGTTCCTTGCCTTAGACTTGTGTCAGTAGGCACAGCTCCATTGTCTCAGGACCAAATCTTCACTTTTACTGGTGAGGTTAGGATTTCAGAGAGTTGTATGCATAGTTGGAGGCAAAAGTTCTTACTGAGCACTGTCAAGAGGCACTTGATGAAAGCATTTCCTTAAGTTAAGAAAAAAGATTGAAAAAAGCAAAGCATCATCATCAATGCTGTGGAGAAATTATGCAAATACAGGGTTGGCTTGATTAAATCAGGTTATGAGGAACAGCTGGCTTCAAAAAAAGAGTTCCTCTAATTGTTCTAGTTTGACAGATTGCCTATAAGAACTTCTGCTACTTGCATTAGCTCTGATGTGCTTCTTTCTTTGTCAGGAGATTTAAATCTCACTCTCTTACATAATGCATCTGCAGTAATTTCTGCACATCTTTGCATGGTCTTCAGCATTGTTCCTCTGCAGTAATTCTGGGAACCTTTGCTGTTTTTCTTTTCTTTTCTTTCTTTTTTTTTAAACAGAATCATGCATCTCAATATTTATTTTTCCTTTACTTATCTAGGTAAATTAAAGTTTTAAATGGAATTTCTTCATCCAGGCTTCTGATGTGCTAAACTATAAAGCAGAAGGAGACTAAAGTTGAAAACTAATTAAAACTAGTGAATGAAATGACATTCATTTGGAGAGCCCATTCACTTCTGATAAAACTCACACAGCAGAGGAAGGACAATTACTTGAGCAAGAGGCAGGCATACTGAACAGACTTTTGACCATGAAGTACCCAGAAGAGGATTTAGGCACTTGCATACTGATATAGAAAAGAAATAAGGACTCAAATTAGTCTCAAGTATAACACATCTCTGCCAATCAAAACTAGAAAAATCTTTTTTCCTAAACATAGAAACTGAATGCCTTGCCCTTGGTGTAATCACAACAGTAAAAAAATCTTTTCTACAGGGTTTCCTGATGTGATGGCCTATTGATTTCTGGATGTGTCCTTCTATGGCAGGATAATAGCCTTATTTTGAAGATTTAGGTGTTAGCAATGCCTTTGGAGTGAATTTCATTCAAAGGGTATTAGTTTTTTGAATCCTTAATAGGCCTTGGACTAGAAAGGGTAGGCACCTGAACTCTTTTGCCATCTTTTGTTTAAGTGTATCTTCACCTCTGTACTGTCTTAGAACTGATTCCAAAAGTCCCATCCATGTTTGTGTGACAGTTGAAGGAGAGGCTTTGATATAAAATATGTATGGAGTCCTGTGATTGTACTGAAATGTGGTGTGTTGCTCTAGTTGACATTGGTGTTACTGAGAGTGGAATTTGTTCTATCATGAATTATCTTGAGGTAAGATCAACAGGGAAAGCCACATGTACTCATGGTTCTGAGGAAAGCTCACTTTTGGAGTAATCCAGCTATTTAGACCATTCATGTCCAGTGTTGCATTCTGTGTGAGAAATTCTGAGATATGATCTATCTACTTTGCACTACATTGGTAAGTCTCGTTTATAAGCCAGTAATTGAGTCTGTGTGGGTACATCTACACATGGAATTAATGCATCTGAATTAACTCCAGCACAGTTTGCACTGAAGTCAGTTTCTCCTAGGAGCAGCATCTTCACATGTGCCTGGGACTGCAGCAGTTAGAGTCAGGGCAGAGCAGCCCTGGGTTGGCTGCAGGCTTGGGGGTTCAGCCACAGGTGCCAGCATTGGGCAGTAGAGAGACTGGTTGGTCTACAGGGGTGCTGAAGTGCAGGACTGGGCAGCAGGCAGCCCCTGCACTTTTGCCTCTTTGTACCCCAGCCAGACCTGGTCATGGTCTACATCATTTCTCTGCCATAAGATAGTACTGTCCCCAACAGTACTGTTTTATGGTGGCATTAATTAATCTACTGCGCTCTAATACCAGTACTTGTGTAGACAGTGACACTTTACTGCAGAGATAATTGGTCTACTCTGCAGTAAAGCACATGTGTAGATGCATCCTATATGGTACTTTTTCATAATTTAAACAAGAGTAGAAGCTCTTCCACCATCCTCTACTCTACCGCAGGCATAGAGGTATGGCCAGAGCAAAGTGGGACAGCCAGATTTTCTTTATATCCTGCCAGTTCCTGCCTGCTATTCAGCCCTTGAGCTAATCAGTATCGATCATATCACAGAGTGTCTTTCAGGTCTGCTCTAATTTATGTTTGGAGAGTATCCTTAGAAAGAGCCAATCTACAACTAACGGAGCACAAAAGTGAACATGACTCCACCTGTCTGCAATTTGAGTTGTTTAAACAACAGATTGGGCACAGGGGTCTAGAACTTCTTTCCATTCCAGAAAGTCCTGTAAAATACAAATTTGTATCCAAACTCATTTATTCAATGTGGTCCTCACTTCAGATAAGTG